TAAGATATACTCAAAGACTAATATCTTCAATCTAAAATCAACTTCTTATCTTAGAAGGGTGATAGAGCGACAGCTAAATGGTCTTCCCTTGAAGAATGATTAAAAGCTTAGATTTCGATACCTCTGTTAACATTCATGGTGTAGCTTCTTGTGGCGGTCTCGTCTAAAACAACCAAGGCAATTAAATTAAAAGCTACTCTAAATACCTTGGATATTTTCAAGGAGGCAAACAAATGTGCGAATTAATTATCTCGTCAAGCATCTACTGACAATTTATATGTTTATATTTTCAATACCCCACCACTTAGTTGTTTTAATCTTTTATATATTGACATGACTCATTTTGTTAATTAACACTGTTTATCCATGGCCTTCAATTCAAAAAAGAAAAGAAAAGAAGGTACATGTCAGTATCAATTTGACACACAAGCATAAAATTAACAGTGTTAATTGCCATGTCAACGTTATTAACATCATTTGCGCCACATCAATGTTCCTACGGAATGTAGGGACCAACATTGCAAATGAAAAAAATATAGAGACCTGAAACACCGAAAAAAAGGTAGGGACTTGTACTAAAATTTGAGTAAAATATAGAGATCAAAAATAATACTTTTGTAAAATATAATTTATTTTCTGATACCCCATACTTGAAAGGGTACCATTTTAGATATTTTAACAATTACAATCCTTATACTAGCACTTGGGATGTCATAAATGTTAATAAATTTAGAAATATATTAAATTGATATGTCTTGTCATTGGAATATTATATATTCATCTAATTATATTCATCTAATTCAATTTATGAGTCAAAGAAATGATTTGCTTTAATCTATTTATAGGATATCTTAATAATTATTACATTCATCTTTTATCTTTATCCTTATCAAGTATCAAGAAGATTATTAAATAGAATTAATGATATTCAAATTTTTTTTTATTCTGATAAAAATATTATAAATAATTCATAAATAAGGCCAGGTAAAATATGCCAAGAATGTTATTAATTGTTCAAGTTTTTAATTTTTAAAGTTATATTTAATAGAAATAAAATTAAAATTTTTTTAAAATTTTAAAAAAGTTAATAAGATTTAAATTTTTTTGATAAAAATATTATAAATAACTTGTATCCTGATCCCAAGGGCAATAATACGACGTAGTTTCTGACTAAACGTGACGTATTGGTATATCACGAGGACGTCGTCGTCTTGCTTGCCTACCTCATTCATATGACTCGGTCAGTGGGGTCCCCTGGACTAAACTGTGTCGGTGGATATACGACCAATTATGTGATCAAAGCTTGCGTTTTCTCCATTCCATTGCTTTCGGCAGTCTCATCCGATATTTTTTTTCTTTGTTTGGAAACACTTTATTAAAAAAAAAAAAAACCCCCGACATTCACTTTAACTGTTGCCAGGTGCCCAGGTTTACTATTGTACCCAAGCCGTGTGAACATTCTGTGGGTATTCTAATCAATATCTCTTAGTCATAAAACTACAAGTCAATCTGATTCTTTAGGGATATTATTATTTATAAATGACAGTTATAAATGATTAACAAGTTATTCTTCTTCCCATCACTTTTCGATATTTCAATGAACTAGAAAATATAAATTATCGAAATAAAATGAACTAGAAAGTATTCTGGCCTGAATTAATAAAAATTCATGATTTAGATTATTGGCTTAACTAGAATATGAGTTATTATATGACCTTTTTAGCCATATATTATTTTTGGTACCAAAAATTTATGTGAATGGTGTCCTGGAACTTATCAAGGTTATGGCATGCAAAGATATTTATAAATTACCCATTAATAAGATCTTTATATTGACAACAGGATTTGATCTTACCACTTCATAAATTATGTGGCAAATCCATATCAACTTAATCAACACCCTAATTTTTTTAGCTTCTTAAGTTTAAAAATTTAATTATAAATCTCTTAATTTCTGGCCAAAAGGCCAAAAAAAAATCTCTTAATTGAAAAATTATATTCAATTAATCATTTGTCAATTTTCATTTCATCTCATAGAAACCTGATTACCTGGTTCATTTCTTACCCCCATTTCAATGACATACTAATTTTTTACCCATATGATATAATTTAGGGAGACTTACATATAGGTATCACAGAAGAAGATTAATTAGTATAAAATTTATTAACATCTGAACTAATTGTTAATAGACCTTATAATAATTAATTTTTGTGTGTGCGATTTTAACATAATTCTTCCTATAATTTAGTATGATTTATTTTATCTTGTAGATATGTTTTAGAATGATTTATTTAAGCATCTAAAGAATTTGTGATATTTAAAAAAAAAACATCTTTATCATTAAATGATTAGAATTTAATGCGCAAAACAAAAACGCCCTCAAATGAACCTTACATATAGAATATGCAAGAAGGGATCATATTACATGTTTTTCTCTCTTTTTTATTTTCTTTTTTGGTTAGGAAGTACAATATTATATTCAATTACTGAGGAGTACTGTCTCTGTGTAAATTATGCTTTGGAGATATGCACAAATTGACTATTCCACGCACAGCCCATATACAAATTCTCACAAGTCTCCTAACTTTGACGTAGTTAATTTTTGGCCAGAGCTTTGATGAAATTAATTAAGATTAAGGTAACGTCCCTTTTCTTTCTTATTATTGGACTTGTAATTCCTTCCTGCTGACTTTGAATATTATTTTGTAATTGTGTAAATTTTCAATAAAAATAAATATGAAGGCGACACTCATCATTTTAGTGGATCCCACGGATCGCAATTTGTGTTGAAACCGTGGTGAGGATATATTGCCGTAGTTTTACAAAGTTTCTTTTCTTTTCTTTTCTTTTTTTTCCTTATGACTCACTTGAACGATCGTTAAGAGAAATTTCAGTTTTAAGATATCTAGTTATCATATTAATTATGAGTTATAAATGTTACATAACTAAATATGCAGTTTTTTAAAATTTTGTTGGTTTTCGTCCAATGAGCAAATTAATGCATATTGGTGAATATTACGCATGTTCACTAGTTTCACGCATTTGTTAATCTTTTCGATCATCAACTTTAAAAAAGTAATTCATAAACGAAAACTAGAGATTTAATACATTTTACAAGTGGTTCATTCAATGGACAACTTTAGAAAGTAATTCATGCACAAGAATATGATAATATTAAGATGGGATTACAGGTTCACTGGTTCTTCCATATTGACGTCCACATATTGATGACTGTAGATTGAAGATTGATGGATACATATTGAGAGCCGAGTTTGGATCCTCTGCTGCGCACCTCTTGTGGAGTCCAACGAACCATTTTAATGGAATTTATTATTCCACAAATGAATCTTTCCATATATACTCAATGAAACAAATAAAATTAAATGAACCTCTTTAATATTACATTCAATCATAAAACGAAACACTACCACCATACATTTCTCGTTATAAATAATTATTAATTAAATATACAATAGTGTCTTATTTTACACAATAAGTTCAGATAAAAATATTATACAATAAATTAACGGTTTCGGTTATGGTATAATACCCCACAATGACCAAAATGGCATTCATACATGGTAATGAATTTTTCTGTCGTTTTTACAAAGGTCAATATATGGCAAGGGATGATGGTATATGCACGCATTTTTGTAAAGTAAAATTGAACAAAAATTCAAAACTTGCACGATTTAGAAGGTCATTGTATATATGGTTTGGCACCATTAGATAGGAATACAGCAAAGTCCTCTCCAACGTAACTGATGACGATGACAAGTCGAAACATTAATCTAGACTTATAACTCCACATGGTTTGAATTTTCATGTCCAATATTCTGTCTTCTATTGTTCTTATAATTAAATTAATTAAGAAAAAAAGGAATTTGATTTGTGATTGCAAATGAAGCTATCAATAGGTACCTGGCTAAAATTTGCTGAAAGGTTTCCCAAAAAAAGATTATTAGCATTTACGCCTGGCAAGTACAATAGAAAAAGCAACTTGCACACAAGAAAAATAACAACTGCTTGTCCACACAGTAAAAGAAAAGCAAGAAGAAAACTATCTTCAAATTTATATAGTAGTAAATACACATAAAAATATTCAAAATTGTAGCCACTTACAGGACTCACTATTGAGTCTAAAAAAGTATTATAAAATTTTAAGAAAGTTACAATTTTAATAAATACTCTGATAATGATTTTCTTAATTTAATTCTTCACGTATAATGGTGCGTGTAGAATTTAGTTGTAGTAAATTCAGCCTCACTATACACAATTTTCAAATTGTCGTTTTTAAAGTTAGTATTTTATGCTTTAATTTGAATTTCTGTTTCTTTCTGGTAATTTTTAATAAAAACAGTTTTTTCAAAAATAATAAAATAAAAACGGGTTTAATTTCTCCGTGGATTGAAGGACTGATTCATGTGAAGTAAGAGAAATACGTGAGGAATGGTAAGAGTGAGATAGAGATATAATTAGAAAGGAGAGAAATGACGAAAAACAAAATGAACAAGACGCACACAGCTCCATATAGATTAAGACTTTGCAAATTGGAAAAGCAGAAAGAAAAATTATATTTAGATTTGATCATATGAAAAGTCTCAGGCGCTCAGGTGGCAATTGAGGGTGGTTCAAAGCACATACGTACAGACAACTAAAATGAAATAAAGATATCTGAGATTTAATAATGTCTGAATTAATTAGAAATAGCGCTGAATTCACAGTGGATAGGCATATTTTCTTGAGAAATAGTAATAATTTACAGAGATCACACAATCTATCTCGCAAAATCTAAAAGCGTGTGGACGTAAACATGAGAAGTCCACACTGGCGTTACTCACGGGCACAGAGAGACATAACTGCTCGCTCGCTCGCTCGCTCGCTCGCTCTCTTAACGGATAAGCTTTGCCGCCCCCACTCACTGGGTCTGAGTGTCCCCTTCTTCTCCAACCTCGCTTATAAATACACCCTCCTCCCCCCCCCACACTCTCCTCACCAATCCCTACTCTCTTTGCTGCCTCTTTCTCTTCCTCCCTCGTTTCCTCACTCATGGATCCTCATTCTCTCTCCCCTCCCTCCAAGCTCCCTCCTCCTCCCACCACCATCACTCCTGCTAAACCTTCCTCTCTTCAGCTCGAGCCCGCTACCTCCCCTGAGCCCAGTCCTCTTCGTAAGATTGTCGCCGTCGCCTCCATCGCCGCCGGCGTTCAGTTCGGCTGGGCTCTCCAGCTTTCCCTCTTGACCCCTTACGTTCAACTCCTCGGCATCCCCCACACCTGGGCCGCCTTCATCTGGCTCTGCGGCCCCATTTCCGGCATGATAGTCCAACCTATTGTTGGCTTCCACAGCGACCGCTGCACTTCCCGATTCGGACGCCGGCGTCCTTTCATTGCCGCCGGAGCTGTCTCTGTCGCCGTCGCCGTGTTCCTCATCGGCTACGCGGCCGACATGGGCTACATGTTTGGTGACTCCTTGGTCAAGAAAACCCGGCCTCGCGCCATCACCATATTCGTCGTCGGCTTCTGGATCCTCGACGTGGCCAACAACATGCTCCAGGGGCCGTGCCGGGCCCTCCTGGCCGACCTGGCCGCCGGCGACCAGCGCAAGACGCGAACCGCGAACTCGTTCTTCTCGTTCTTCATGGCCGTCGGGAACGTCCTCGGTTACGCTGCCGGGTCGTTCAGCAAACTCCACAAGATGTTCCCGTTCACGATGACCAAAGCCTGCGACGTCTACTGCGCGAACCTCAAGAGCTGCTTCTTTCTCTCCATTGCACTACTGGCGACTGTCGCCACCATTGCCCTCACGTACGTGAAGGAGAAGAAGGTGCCGTCGTCGGGTGATAAATCAACGAAGGAAGCCGGTGGTGCGGAGGGAAACGAAGAGGCGGAAGAAGGATCAAGATCGTCGCGACCAATGCCTTGCTTCGGGGAAATATGGGGTGCTCTGCGAGTGATGGAGAAGCCGATGTGGATCCTGCTACTAGTAACGTGTCTCAACTGGATTGCTTGGTTTCCGTTCTTGCTGTTCGACACTGATTGGATGGGGAAGGAGGTATTTGGCGGGCAGGTGGGAGAAGGGAGGGTGTACGATATGGGGGTGCGCGCCGGTGCATTGGGGCTCATGCTCAATTCCGTGGTGCTGGGAGTCACGTCCCTGAGCATCGAGGTTCTGGCGCGTGGGGTTGGGGGCGTCAAGAGGCTCTGGGGAATAGTGAACTTCATGCTCGCCATCGGTTTAGCGCTCACTGTGCTGATTACAAAAATCGCCGACCATTCAAGACGGTACACCGTCAGCCACGATGGCATCCTGGAGCCTCTGCCGCCCTCCGCCGGAGTGAAAGGTGGCGCGTTGGCTCTCTTTGCGGTGCTGGGCGTCCCCCTTGCGGTAAGTCGTTTGTGGAAAACAAACTAGTTAGAATCTTCTTTCAATTGGCCAAACACAAAACACAAAGAATGTTATTTACTAATTTTGACAATTTTGGTAATTATATATATTTTTTTCTTAAAAATATGAAGTGCTTTTCGGGCATTCTAAGAAAATTTTCCATTTTTACTTCCTTTTTGTTTGGAATCCAAAGAGGAAGAAGAATTAGGTAATTAATCAAGGGCTTTCAACTGTATCCATTTTAATTTCATTGAAAGAATAAAACTTCTTTCGTTTCTTTTCCCCCAGCGATTATGTATAGTTTGCATGAGCGAGAAAATACTAATCATTTAGGTGCACATTGCTTGCTGAAAGGTTCGAACACACAAACCACACACACACACCCACACACAATTGAATCATTCTGAGCGTGACTGACTGTGATTGTAGGTTAACGATAAATTATTGATGATAAATTAATTATGAAATTAATCAAGGTGTTGAAGGAGTGGGCAATATAAATGATTGACTTTTTTAAAAAAATTGTGTTCATTTGCTGAATATATATTTGAATCTAAAATATTTTTATTTTTTAGCCAGTTTTTAATGCAGTTTGTTTGGTTATATTAATTATAAATTACTGCCTGAAAAGATTTAAGATGAGCTGTTGAGGGTGCATGGGAGGTAGTGGATAATATTTCCTTGTGTCATTTTTCATATCCAGCGAGGAAACAGATTTAATCCTTTCAATGACTTGGAAAAAGTTGTGATCTCATTGAAGTGTGCCATTAATGCTCATGACTTTTTCGTGACAATATATCCATTAGTAATCCAAAACTAGATTTCCTTAAAAGAAAAAAAATAATCTTATTTGCATGTTTGTTCCAACACTTGAAAGCAGTTTCTCCTTCCTAGTAGAGAAACAAAAAGGAGGAGAGAGTGAGAATCATGAAAGTGTTGGAAAAGCTTTTGATGCCAAAGTGAAAAAACCACACTAAAACTGGCTTCTTTGTGTTGTGCAGGTTACATTCAGTATTCCTTTCGCTCTAGCATCTATATTTTCCAACACTTCAGGGGCAGGCCAAGGTGACACCTTTCATTCATTTAGTCAATCCACCTAATTTGGTTTGAGATTAAATTAAACATCATCTAACTCTTTCATTTTTTGTGAATAAATTTGCAGGGCTATCTTTGGGAGTTCTCAATCTTTCAATTGTCATTCCACAGGTTTGAATTTGAACTGCCTCACTTCATATGTTTTTACCCATGCATATGAATTGATTGATACTAACATATATGGCAATTAATAATTAGTATACTAATTATTTGCGTGTATAGATGGTGATTTCTGTGGCAAGTGGACCATGGGATGCTTTGTTTGGTGGTGGCAACTTGCCAGCATTTGTGGTGGGCTCGGTGGCAGCGGCGATCAGTGGCGTATTAGCGATATTTCTACTGCCATCTCCAGCGCCGGATTTGGCCAACGCAGCCGCGGTGGCGGCCGGAGGCTTCCATTAAATAGTTGGACTTTTCTTGCTTTACATTTTCTCACTTGTTTTATATGTGGAAAAACTTTTTCCTTTCCTTTCTTTTCTTTCTTTCTTTGTTTTTCCTGGGGCTTGGAAAGTAGGTGTTGTTGCTTGTGTATAAGGTCAGAAAATATGATATGGAAGACTTAGAGAGATCAGTCACTGTAACTGTAAAGTTATATGGCTGTGTATAGGCTGTCTAAGCAGGCCCATCAAATATTTTCTTTATATTGAATATTAATGTTAGTCCATCTTTCATCAAGTATCCATTTCAATTATGCCATTCATTTTCAAATAGTGTTGCGCATTTTCTTCTCTCTCTAGTCCTATCACAATCATGGAACATGTTCATTGGCAAAAACAAATTAAAAGGTCACGGAACATGTTCTGTAGGAGAAGTATTTGCTATGAAAATACGGTCAAAATCTAAACACCGTGTACAATGAAATACAAAATTACATCTTTTTATTCAAAAATATAAGATATTATGTTAAAAATTATAAAGTAATTTTAGTTTTTTTAATGTATAATTATTATTTTTTTAAAAAAAGTATCCTTAATGAATAAATCACTTTATATTTAATTTAGATCAAAATACCTCATTAAATAGGGATAAACATATAAAGATAATATTAGTTTGAAGACAAGTAACTATTTTATTAGGAGTGAGATTCGGTTAAAAATATTTTAAATATTTTAATGGAGGGTGTATCCTACAATGACTTTTAATTTTTGTTCCTTTTTATATTTTCTCTACAACACTGAATTAGCAGTCTTCTTAACTGTTAGTTTAGTCTCAACATTTTGCTACTGGAACTCATTTCCTCTTGACTCTATCA